GGATGGGACTGGGTGTAAGTATGCGCTAATCGCATAGACACTATATAGTATTGTTGTCTTGAATACTACACCTGTAATTTTACTGCTGCAGATAGACCCCCTGGGTTAATTTTTTTATTTTTACCTGGGTGAGTCTATCCGAGGGTTAAAAGAGTCAGAAATTTAACCCACAGAATCTATCAGCAACAATGAAAGTATAGGGCTAGTACGTTCAAAACATCGATACTACAGGGCCCTGTGTGCAAGTAACCCATAAGATAAACTGGGAATCCACATATGTTGGACAGGATCAACGAAATAGATCAATCAACATTAAAGGGTTGTGTGGTATACTGGTATAGCACAGACATTGAAATTAGATGCTTATGCTTCAAAATTTCAAATAAAGGATAAAAACAACATTTCTGGTTGTTGTGCGGGATTGGAAGGATGTACCGCGTAAAAGATTGCTTTGTGTCAAATGCATGTTTGTAGGTTTGAAAATTGATAGCATTCATGCACGCCAACAAGCTCAGGTTCGATTGTTAGTCTTTTACCTTCACTCATAACCAATGTTTAAAAAAGCGAAAGCGCAATTAGACCCTTTTACGAAGCGGGGATTAAGCCTCATGAGTAAAATATATTTTGAGTTTAAAATTTATAAATATCATGAATATATATTATATAGTGGTATAACGATTTACATTATCGAAACATTTCATGTCCTGGTTAGTAAATATGATTTAAATATGCAAAAGTATAGATGCAAATCGCAATAAACTAAGCTACATGCGTAAGATATATATGTTATTGATAGTAAGATATATATCTTATTGATAGTCAGATGGTCACATACATAGGGGCACTTTAATTTTAGTCCAAAACCCTTTTATATCCTTCTATCTTGTGTGAAGCGTGCACTTAAGAAGACATGCATTTTATGGAGGGTATGGAGGGTGAAGTGCATACTTTAGTTTTGGTTTAAGCGATAAGGCATATGCTTCAAGGGATAAATAACTTCTCTTTTGGGTTTTGAAGCAATTATCCTTCAAGAAGTTAAAGCGAGTTTCAAAGAGCTTTTTCAAACATTGCTCACTACATTCACGTTCTAGCTTGACTACTACGGTATTCTAAATCTTTTCCTAGCTACATCATTTGTGTCATTAGTTTAAATGGTATGCATTTAAATAATAGAACACAGATACCCCCACGTAACTAAAATCATTTGTGTAACTTCTGGTTCAAGTATGTACTTTGATGGTATATCTCATATTACAACCCCCTACTCAATTATTTTCCTGCATTACTATAATTCAAACATGTCAGAACTGTATCGCCTATTATCGTATCCGCATTAGTAGTAGTTCTGTCTGAAATGCTAGCTTTGCGTCATTTATTTGCACCATTGCTATAGTGTTTAATTGATGATCATCGTGTTGTCAGAAAATGCTTCGGCTTGAACCAAATAAAAGAATCACAGCTCGGCAGGCTCTTGAGCACGAGTTCTTCAAGGACCTTGGGATGGTGCCGTGAGTTATGGTCGTTTCCCCTTCCCACTGTATATTATTAAAATCACTACGTTAAGATTGCGATTTGTTATTGTTAGTGTGATTCCTTACGTATGTTTTCATTTTTATCGAAGACCGGAACTGGTTTGTGTGAGATAAAAAAAAATTGCT